GGTGGGCACGACCTTATGTGTATAATGGTGGGCACGACCTTATGTGTATTATGGTGGGCATGACCTTATATGTATGTACTACGGTGCATATATTACTCGAATACCCAGGGTCTTCGTAGGTTTTCTTATGGGCTATAATTATTAGTAAAATGATAATATTTATATCATATTGTTTTGAATATGGTAAAATATTGGACATGCATGTAACATAATCTTATGGTATTTGAAAATGACATTAAATTTCATGCATGAGTTGTATTGCACTATTTATTGTTTTAATTGTCTCACTAAGTATATACTTAGCGTGTGATGATTTTCACGCGTAGGTAAAAACCAGAATTAGAAGTAAAGAGTACAAAACAACTTCAAGCATCAAGGAATATACTACAATATCAGTAAGACATCCTATGATGTAATTTTGACTTAGTTAGTGGCATGTACTTACAAATGTCCTATTAGCTTTGTTTAACTATTTTGAAAACTGGTTTGTAATGGATAAATTGAATCGTTTTATGATATTTTAAATATAGATAATATGAACCAATATTATTATTTCGAGTAGACATATTTGATTATAATATATATATATGTTTTAAATATCATGTTATAGTTTTACTTGAGATAATATTTTTATATTATCAGTTATCATTTTGAGAAAATAAATTTGTAAATCACTTTTGAATTGGGAAATATTTTGAGAAATTAATGTGATATCTATAATCTGTATTGGTATAATTATACGGGTTTTAGGTGTTACATCTTTCACTTGTGCGATGTACACTCACATATTTAAATTACCCTTCTTCATTAGCTTCAACCTATAGTGAAGATTCATAATCGTGGTTGAGATTTATTCGCAAAGAATTTAATAATCTTCGACCATATTTCGACTGTTGTTTCAACACGGACGAGACGAGGAAGAAGAGACGGTCCAACGATCAAGAGAAGTCAAGACGCCAGCACACAGTCTTGGGCAACAAATACCACATATGCATCATTGTCCACAGTCGATCCATTATCAAGAACCACCATGGTAGGCGGCGGTCGAACACCACCGGTCAAAAGCTTCTCCAAGCGGTGACTGCAAGCCATAAATAAGATTTGCTGTTTCCATAGCAGATAATTGTTCTCATCCAAAGTTAACACTAACCCTCTTGTTGGCGAAGACACTGCCACCGCTAGAGCTATCGGAAAACAACATCACCGAAAAAGCACAACGAAGAAGCCACACAACCCAGGACCCTAACGAGATGATACCATGTTGGTTTTAAACCTTTTTCCTTTAGTATTAATGAAAACGGGGTACATTTCACAATGCAGTACAACCTATTAAATAGGCATGAGGCCATGCTTTACATGGATGCCAATTACAACTCATACAAGCCATGCACCCAAATAACAGCATCACAGCTATCACGAGCTGAATCCCACACCATAACCAACAACCACACTCGACACACACCCTCATCTCACACACCATAACCACTTTCAACAACCACACTCGGCACACACTCATCTCACACTTTTAATATTTGCTTAACACAGATTAATAAAAAAAATCTGCCCACACACATAACAGAAAGCCCATAAAATCTTTGGTAATTTTGTATGTAGGTAAGATTTGTGTGAACACAAATAAAATCTTAAGATACGGTTAATAAGAAAAAAGTTTAATCGAATGAAATTTAAATTTTATGATGGATATTGCTCACCATCCGTCCTAAGTTCGTATTATAACAGAAGGTAACATTATGAAACTTTCAAACACGCTTTAGTAGACAAAACATAATGTAAATCTTGCACCCGTAACACCATCCCAGGGACAACTTGCAATTCTTTAGCTACAAGATTCGTAATTATTAATGTTTTACGCCTTAGAAATTGAAGGCGTACAGCAATAGAGAGTTCAAGTTGGTAACAACTCATTACCATTAATCCCAGCTTTTAATAGTTATAGGGATGAATGAATCCAATGATATAATTAGTGGCCATCGCTATCGATGTCACCCCCGTACATTGGAGCCTTTGTCCAGAGCGTTATAATTCATATTATAGCGTACCTTTCATTGAGCGAGACTCGGCCCCCATAGAAAAATATGAATCAAAAGCCTATATTTATCGACAGAATGGAGTCATATCCACCGTGTAAATCTTTCTTTTATCAACAGAGATTCAACCCATTTAAATATGGGTAAACTACTCCACTGGTCACTAATATTTGGATAAATTTTTTTTTCACCACTGATGTTTAAAAAGTTACAAATCAGTCACTAACGTTATCGTTTGTTACAAATTGGTCACTCGCTGTTAACAGGCATGGCGGAAAACACTTGTGGCCTGTTAACATGCTTACCTGGATGGTATAATTACACAAATAGTCTATGTTATTTATATATTCTTTCAATTTGATCCTAGTTTTAATAAATTAAAATATATTTATTTTTAATTCTTATAAATAATGATATATTTTTAAAAAATGGAAATCAAAAATCAAAAATTAGTTATAAAAACAAAAAGTAACGTTTTTTTAATGTTAGGGTAAACTAATAAAAACAAAAAAATTAACGTTTGTTTAATAAAATTAACATTTTCACTCCTTGTTTGAATAAGAGATTTGAGATACTAAAATCTAATAGGGGTCATAGATTTAATATATAAAAAATTATTAAAAGTTGAGTTTGATATGTACATTGATTTGAACTTGGATTAATTAATATAAAAAAATACTTATTTAAACCTTTTTTATTATTTTAGAGAACATTTAAAAATCTTAATAGTGATGCATTTGGTTCTCAAACAGTTAAAGCGTTAGAAACGTTTCGGGACAACATGTTGTCATTATTCCATCATAGTTCACAAAATGCATCAAATAACATTCCAGAAGTAAGCACTAATATAAACATTTCAAAGGACAACATATAGGTTTAGTGCAGGTTCAAGGACAACATAAAGAGTAGTAGTTTATTCTTGAAACTTAAATTAGCAACACTGTGAAGTTAGTATTTGTCTTTGTTTTGTCTTTTTGTTGAAGTAATGCAATTCATTCAAGTTTTAATTTGCAGAATAAGAGTAGTTTCTGAAACATAAATTCGCAACGCGAAAATGAAAATCGTAATCGCAATGCGAAACTAAAATCGCATTGCGATTTTCATTTTCGCATTGCGATTTTGGTGTTGCGATTTTCATTTTCGAGTTGCGAATTTAAGTTTCAAAAACTATTCTTCTGTAAATTGAAACTTGAATGAATTGCATTTCTTCAACAAAAAGACAAAACAAAGACAAATACTAACTTCACAGGATTAAAGACTAAACAGTTTAGCAATATTGGCAGCAACCGAATGAATTTACTAAGCAATCTCAGTGAAATTGTTAAAATATATATTGAAATTACCAGTAAATTTATCATCAATATAAGAAAAATCTAATAATAATACAAAAATTTTAAAATAAAAATAAGAGATTAAAAAACTAACCCTCGGTGGTTGATTTTCCATTTCTGACCGTGAATGGTTGTGAGGGTTGCTCTGAGAGATTGAGATAGACGGATTTCGCCGGAGATGGGGATGAATTTCGTCGGAGATGTGGACGGATGTCGCCGTAGAAAATGAGAGATGGAGATGAGACTGAGTTGTGATTTAAGGTTTTAGGTTATGATTTGCGATAATACTGTTTACATTTGTGTTGCGAAATTAATATTATGTTTCGCGTTGCGAATTTGACTATCGCGTTGTAAATTTAAAATTTACGCGTTGTGAATTTGACTTTTTTGTTGTGAATTTGACTTCTGAGTTGCGATTTACAAATTCGAGTTGCGAATTTGACTATCGCGTTGCGAATTTGACTTTTGTGTTACGAATTTGACTATAGCGTTGCGAATTTGACTTCTGTGTTGCGATTTACAAATTCGCGTTGCGAATTTGGAAATTGAGTTGCGAAATTGGAGTTCGCGTTGCGTATTTGTTGATCATTTTGGCAAATCCAAAAAAAGTTAATTAAAATCGTATATTATAAGGCATTTTCGGTCTTTGAGATTATTTTCTCTTAAAAAAAAGGTTAATTTTTTTTTTGTTTTTATTAGATTTTTTGCAGAAGCTACTACACTTGTCTGTATCTGTTCTAGACCTTCATTAGCACTCGACTCCGAGGTTTTTAGAACCAAATACTCTGCACCGACTCTTCAAACTATAGCAACAAATTTCAAGTCTTTTTAATCCGGACACCAGATAACAAAATAATCCGAACCAAATGATCCACAGCAGCCAGAAAACTTAAAGTCAATTGTCACATCCTGAATTGGAACTAAATTGAAAGCATTGTAAAAGTCAATGTCATTTTGTAAGTTTCTATAAGTTTAGGGATTTAAGGAGCAATTTACCCAAAAATTTAAGTTGTTTTAAAAAACACTACCTTTCTTCTCCACTCTTTTTCCCTGTTTGTGAAAACGTTTTTTTTATTAGTTTATCCTAACATTAAAAAAAAGGTTAATTTTTTTTTTGTTTTTATAATTAATTTTAAATTTTTGATTTCTTTTTTCAAAATATATCATCATTTATAAGAATAAAAAATAAATATATTTTAATTTATTAAAATTAAGATTAAATATATAAATAACATAAACTATTTATGTAATTATACCATTAAAGTATATTAACAACAGTTAAACAGATCACGTGTGTGACCAATTTATTATAAACGATAACGTTAATAACTGATTTATAACTTTTAAAACATCAGTGTTAAAAACAAAAATTGCCCAAACATTAGTGACCATGGAATAGTTTACCCTTTAAATATCCCATTGGCTGGAATCTTTTTATCCAACTATGTGGACACTTGTAGGGCTATATTGTCTCTTTAATCTATTGTCGTCCTACAGATGGGTCTTTTTCGTAATTGACACATCCTAAAAATCTGCACTCATCAGCGTGATGTCGTAATGTGGAAGGAAGGCGTATATGCATGAATCATTCACAACTATTAAAATCATTGAAATCCATACATCATACACAATCAACAGTCAACACCATCCTTACATACATACATACATTACATCATCTATCCTAACATCCACAGCTCCCATAACTAACATCCATCCTAAAAACTGCAATTGATCATATCATACCAGTAACATTATATCATTATTGATCACTGAACAAAAACAAACTTGTCACTAGGACAAGAAACAACCATTTTATTCGGCCACAATCAGCTCTCTTTAGCGAAGAAGCCTTTTAGTGAAGCTTATTTGCAAGATTGCACTGCTTCCTGATCTCACCCTTGGTACCGGTGAGAGGGTTGTTCTCGGAGAGTAGCGTAATGGCCCTGGAGAACTCCTTGAAGAAATAGTCTTGGCTCTTGGCCATTTTCTTCACATAAGGTCTGGTCCTTTTGTCGTAAGCCAGTTGGTGGTCCACAATCAACAAGCCTTTGTTGTCCAGGATGTTTCTGTAGTAGTTGTTGTCCAGAACCATGGGTGTCCCACGGTCGTTTCTCACGTACTGCACCGCCTTGGGGTCTGGGATTTGATCAGGGCACTTATGGAGCATGTGTGGAATATGGTCGGGGTTGAGCGCAGGGTCAATCTCTGGGTACAAACGGTGCACCAGCTTCACACAGTGAGTTCTGCCGACACTGTGAGCTCCTGTTTTGCACAATAAAGAAAACTAAACTTGAGCCAAAAAGACGCGACAAACATAGTGGCATGTATATTTAATGATGTAAGTGTAAAGATGCAAAGGAGTACCTAGGAGGGCCACGACTCCAGGGGTGTCGATACCCATGGCAGCAAATCTGTCGAGAACGCCAGAGATGGTCTCGTTGTGGTCTGGAAGATACTCCTCCACAACATCTGCTCTGCTCCTTCGACCGTCTCTTCTTCCAGTTTTGAGAGGGATGTAAGGGCCTCCAAGCTGAAGCAAGTAAATTCAGGGTAAACATTTTACCTGTCTGACAAGCTAAACTAAGAAATGCATCCAGGAATTTCATATTATGGTTTAAACTAAGATCTCAACGCATGAAATTGAAGTTGAAACCTCAGATTCAGAGAAGCCAAAAGACGCTGTCAACAGAGACCAGGAGTGATCTTAAGAGGGGTCAAAAGAAATTTTACCGAAGCAATGCCTTCTCTAGCTGACAAAACAAGGATATCAGCGCAAGAAACAACTCCAGGACACTCCCTTTCTACAGCTTCTTTGATATCCTCAATGTACCTGAAATTCCTTAGGCCAAAGCTCCTGTCTGTCTCCTTCTCAGACAAGCTCCTTCTTGTGGAGTCTAGCAGCAGTGAAGCATCACATGACTAGTCCAAAAAAAAAAGATGAAAAATTAAAAACACTTCATGTTAGGGTATATAAAAGCTATAAACACAAGTTGAAAAAACCACTGTACAGAAATTTACCTGAACAGCACAGTCATGGAAAATGTTTCTCAGCCAAGAAAATGCAGTGTTTTTGTGTCGTTTGTACAGTAGCTTGACTTGCTCTTTAATAATGTCTTCAGCCTGAGGACAAGTATCCCGGTAGAAGTTCATAACAAGACCTGGGTCTTCCTCATTCTCTGCAAATGCAGAGGCTGCTGAAAAGCAAAGCAAAGCAAAGAAGAAGAGAGCTTTGGCACCCATATTTTTTTGCTTATCACTACACTCAACTAAAGGTCACTGACCTTGCTTTTGATTTCTTGTGAGATGCTTGCTTAAATAATTCAGAGAGCGGTAAGTACAGTCACGTGTATTTTTTACACTTGTCCTTAATACTATCCGGCATTTACGAGGTTAACAACACCTGTAAGAGTTAAACAACAGAAAATGCCAAAGATTCTTAAGTTAAAAAAAAAAAGAAAGATTGACAGAGGGACCGAGAACCAAAGCCAGTTGATCCAACGGTGTACGGTGGAAGATCTGGGAAAATCAAGCTGTAATATTGGAATCCTTTGTCAAAATCAAATTAATTTTAGGGTGTGTTTAGTTCAAGAAATATAATATTATTTATGAGAATAAAAGATTATTAGAGGATAGGATTACTGTAAATGTTATATTTTATGTTTAGTTGATTTAATAGGAATGTAAGATTAACGTATTTAGTTAAAAAAATAAAAGATTATTAGAATGTATATTTAACTAAATTGTCCTTATTATATATTTATATAATATTACAAGTTGAAAAATATTTATATATTTTTTTTTAAAAATTTAAATTCATAAAATTTATATAATTTTTTTACAAAATTAAAAATATATAAAAGGTTTAATGAAAGGGTAAAATTTTATTTTAACCCCTGAACTTCATATAAAATTTTAATTATAGATTTTTTTGTAAATCTAAAATAATTTAAGGATAAATTTATAATTTAACCTTTGTAGAATTTTTATTATTAATGACATAAAAATGATATTTTTGAAAGAAAAAAATTGAAGGATATTTTGTTTCAAAACGCCGGTAATGTTACAATAGCTAAGGGAAGAGAAGTAATGATATTCTCGATAATATACCTAAAAAATTTACTATTAATAATAAAACATTATCAAGAATGACATTCTCAGAAATGACATTCTCAGCCAAACTAAACGGAACAATATTTCATTCCCGAGAAAAATTTACATTTCACCATCCAAATGCCCCCCTAAAATTCCTAGAAGATTTTTGAAACATTGCTACCAAATTATCCGGTTCTGCTGTTGTTGGAAGATGTTGGACCCGGATCTACTGTTACTCCATGTCTCTCGTACAAGATTTGTTCTTTCCATAATCAGTAAAAGTGTAAAACCTAGACAAGTAATGGAAAATGTTGAGGCAAAATTAAGGGTTACAGAGTCAAGTTTGACTGTTGTAGTGAAGGTCTATAGTAGTATTTCTATGGCTAAATTACATAACTGACATCGTTTGTTTTTAATTTTACTTTTCTAACACCGTTCGATCAATATTTCCAAAACTAGCACCCTTTCTGTTGAGTTGGCAAAGGCGCGTCCCCGGGGACGCGCTTTACCCGTGTTTTCGTTGAGTTGGATGTCACGTGTGAAAGGCGCGTCCCCGGGGACGCGCCTTTGCCATATCAGCAGACACGTGTGGAAGGCGCATCCCCGGGGACGCGCCTTCCATTAAATGTCATAAATGCCCCCATCCGTTTTTCCTAACTACCCCTCCTCCTCCCCTATATAAACCCCCTCAACCCTCACTCATTCTTCACACCAAAATCATCTTCTCCTCTCTTATATAACTCAAATTCTCCAACTATTTGAGTTTTAAATTTGTTATTAGTGGTAAGAAATTTATTTTTATGTTAGTATTTTTTTAAATAGTTATTATTTTTTATATTAATATATTTATGTAAATATTATTTTTTTATTAAAATAATATTTATATAATTATTATTTATTTAGAATTATTAATTTTTTGCTAATTATATTGTTTTGTCTACAGTTATAATGGAAAACGAAATGCTGTTGCGATTGGATATTGATCATATCTCCAGACATTTTAGCGATATGGTAATATTTTTTATAATTAATGTTAATATTTAAATTTATTTTTATTTTAAAGTTATTATGAATTTATATTAATTTTTACTTTTTATAATATATATTATTTAGGATGCTGATCGTATTTTAGAAACTTTTATTAAAAATCTACGTATACCGACACCGGAACGTATTTTGCCATATTTGGCTTCTGCTGGGTTCGGGTATATTGCAACAATTATAGGCGGTTGCAAACTCGAACCTGTCCTAATTTCTGCACTGATTGAGAGGTGGAGGCCCGAGACACACTTTTCACCTTCCATGTGGAGAGGCAACAATTACATTGGAGGATGTCTCTATGCATCTGGGGCTTCCCGTCGACGGAAATATGATGTGTGGTATGGCGGATGGTGATTGGCAATCAATGTGCATTGATTATCTTGGAGCTGCTCCGCCAGAGTTTAATGGAGGTAGAATAGCTTTATCTTGGTTAAAAGCTAATTTTGAGGTTTTAAATGAAAATGCTTCAGAGGATCAAGCAAAGGCATGTGCTCGGGCATATATTCTACGAATAATTGGAGGAATATTGATGCCCGACAAATCTCGCAACCAGGTGCATTGTATGTGGTTGCGGCATCTGATCGATTTTGATGAAACTGGAAGATATAGTTGGGGTGCTGCAGTTTTGGCATTTCTCTTTAGAGAAATGTGTCGGGCGACGAATTATAAGAAAACTGCTATCGGTGGATGTCTTCTGCTTCTACAATCATGGGCGTGGTTCTGCATGCCTTTCTTATGCCCGATCGTGAATGAACCATATGTATTCCCCTTATTGTTGAGGTAATTTTCGAACTAAATTTTGATTTAAATATTTTCAATTAAATAGGGTGATATTTAGTTTATATTATATTTCATAGGTGGTCGATGAAAAGAAATGACCATAAAAGTATACCTACTGGGTTAGAGGAAATTCGTTTACTTATTGATACGAAAGCTGGGTCTGAGGTATGTTTTTAAATTTGTTTAATTATTAATATTTTAATTTAAAATATTAGATATAATTAGAATATTTTATTTATTTGAATTGTATTTTATTTCAGTTTCAGTGGATACCTTATGCGAGCGATGAAGTGAAAGCTTGCATCCCACCCCACCTTAGTGGGTCATTAGAGGTATGGATATCAGTTATACCTCTTATATGTTATGCTATTATTGAGTGGCATCCAGTTGATCGCGTGCTCCGTCAGTATGGTTGTACGCAATATATTCCTGGAGCTCCTAGAAATTTAGACGACGTGCATAACATAGATAGACGGGGAAAGAAATATGTTAACTGGGTGGTGAGACACAGAGATTGGATTGCGCTTTGGGAGAACCGATATACACTGTTGGCCCATCGACAATATTACGCTGAAACTGGTCATATGGTTACGGATAACTATATGGACTGGTTTAATGAAAATGGGAAGCCGTTTCTACTTTCGGCGGAAGCACGAGGGTTAACATTCCTAGGCGCCGAGAAAGACGTCAACCGTCTCAATATCATCGTCCCCCGACGCGTGGACGGAGAGAAGGCGCTACCGGTTCTGCATCAGTCCCACCACAACATCCTTATTCGTCGATGCCGCAGGGGTACATGCCCAGCCCTCCACTTCATATGCCAAGCCCACCAGTTTATATGCCATCTCCGCAGGGTTACATTCCGAGCCCGCAGGGTTACATTCCTAGCCCGCCAGGTTACATGCCTAGCCCGCCAGGTTACATGCCTAACCCGCAGGGTTTTATACCATATGGAGGTGCATATACGACTATGTTTAATGATCCAGCATATGCTTCATATGCATCTTATTTGGCTGGTGGTGCTTCTCCGCAGATACCTCAATCTTCATCTGGATCACATACATCGATGCCAATGTTTCCACAGTTTCCACAGTTCCCGGGGAGCGGTGGGATTGTTACTAGCACTCCTCCAGGGTCGTTATTTTATACAGGCCCTTCAGCCCCTTCAGCGTCATCTACACCAAATGAAGAAAATGCTGCTGATGATGATAGTGAAGATGAAGAGACTGAAGAACAAGTTCCACGAAGAAATCCTCCACGAAATAGGCAACCACCGCCATGTGGAACTCATTCGAGAAGACGACATCGGTGATCTAGTTATATTTAATGTTATTTAAATAATTAAATTTCAGAATTTTATGTAATTTGGTTATGTTATTTAAATGTTTCATGGTTGTTACATACATATTTTTTAATGTTATTTTTTATTCACATTTAACATTAAATGTTTGATAAATGTTTTTAAAATACAAATTATATTATTCGAAATTTAAAATAAAAATAAAAATAATATTATTCAAATTTAAATTTAAAATATAAATTATAGTATTCGAAATTTAACATTAAATTTCAACTTAATATTCCAATTGTATTCGAAATTAAAAGTTATATTCCAATTATAGTTCACAATACTTAAATTGAAATTAAATTTATCCATACATATGATTTTATCATTAACATATATATTAAAACGTATACATTAAAATCAACTTATGTTGAGTTCATCGATCGACGTAATCAACCAAGAGGGGGTGAATTGGCAATTTATTCAATGTCACATTTCAATGCTCATTCCATACAATTTCAATGTCACAATCAACTTATCATTTCACATTTATTCAATTTATTCATAACATTTTATCTAATTTATTCAAACTTCACATAACGTTTTAATTTAAGTTATTCTTAACTTGTTGAACTTTCAAAAGAAGTTAAATTTAAGTTATTCCCCGAGGGACATGAGTGACATAATAGGGCAATGATAATATTCTCTGACGAAATAATGGAAGGCGCGCCCCCGGGAACGCGCCTTCATGTGAATAGTGAAATAATAGGTACTGATATATCTATTGTCCCGAGGGACATGAGTGACATAATAGGGCAATGATAATATTCTCTGACGAAATAATGGAAGGCGCGCCCCCGGGAACGCGCCTTCATGTGAATAGTGAAATAATAGGTACTGATATATCTAGTGTCCCCGAGGGACATGAGTGACATAATAGGGCAATGATAATATTCTCTGACGAAATAATGGAAGGCGCGCCCCCGGGAACGCGCCTTCATGTGAATAGTGAAATAATAGGTACTGATATATCTAGTGTCCCCGAGGGACATGAATGACATAATAGGGCAATGATAATTCTATGACGAAATAATGGAAGGCGCGCCCC